AACAACAACAACAACAACATTCTATGAAGTCATAGCTTTCTCAGTCTCCTACATGAAGCTGAAGGAACCTCAAAATGGACATTGGGGAAGTTGTGAAGATGTAGCCCAGCAAGAAACAAGGTCCTCATAGTGCCACTACACCAACCCCTGTTACTTTCCAGAAGGCCAGGACATTGTGGATGTGTCTCTCTTATTCTGCTCTTTTTTAGTGGTATGTGTCGAATATACTAAAGAGTGTCCAAAGAGATTTATATAAAAGAGCTACAAAGAAATTTCTCAAGTCTCCTGTCTAATTAGCACCTGTCTCAGAAAACAACAGTAACTGCATTAGAAAGGAATGATAATGTAATTTAATTATTGTAAAAAGTCTGATTATCATCTATGAGTTCTCATTAATTTTTCTTTGAAGACAATGGTAGAGACTTTGCTAATTCACACTCTTCAGTTTCTATTTTTTTTTCTTTTAAAAAAATTTCAGTTATCCTCAGATGCAAGGACTTGTTCTGAGAGGAGGATCTATTTCCTTTATTGGGATAATGTCTCAAGAGGACAAATTATTCCTCATCTTCAATGCTCAGTGATGATCACTGTTCTTGTTACATCATGCTTCTCTGAAAGAAATATGGGATGACCTTAACAAACAGGAGTTTATTCTTACAATATGGAGGCTTTAAATCTAAGTTCAAAGTGCCAGGCTCTAGGGACTGGGTGAAAGTCTAGCAACTTTGGGGTCCAGCTCTGTCTCCTGCTCCCGGCCCACTGGAGCTAGAAGCGTTTCTTCACTCAGACAGCTGCTGGATGCTGAAGTTGAGAAGCCCCAAGGTTGACAAGTAAAAAGGCACAGTCTCGATATTACCAAATCACACGGCAGGCCATTAATTCAAGTCTGTTTGTAAGTCCCAACATCGGTAGAGCATGGCAGGCCTACTGAATAATGACACAGCTACATGCAGGGTTCAAGGTGCCATAAGTTAGAGATCATTCCCAAGGCTTCTCCTTATATATGAGAAGCAGACCACGTCCCAAAGGCAGCTACTCAGCTGCTTGTGGTAGATCCCACCATGGAGTTGATTGCCAGTCTCATCATGGGGAATACCACCAGCTTCCCAGCCACTCAACCAGGCCCAGCCAAGCTGACACACAAACATAACTACCACAATCACCATGTGATGGGAATGTGTTACTGGGAGCCCATGAGGAATCTTCCTAAAAGAAGAACTCACAGGGAATGGAAGACTTAATGTCAAGACACAGGCTGATTTGTAAAAATAATTTTAAGTTGAGCTAAAAAATGATTTTTAAGCTAAATTTTGCACTGAATTTAGTTGAAAGGCCTAAAATAAAAATGAAAAATTTTCAATTTTTATGTGCATCACCATATTGTCATGCAATAGTGAATAGCTGTATCTGCACGTATGTTTCTGTCTGTCTCTATCTAGATCTGTCTATATCTACTAAGAAACTTAGTAGGTGCTATTCATAGGTTGTCAATATGACTTGCTAAAGAAAATTTGAGTGATTACAAAAAAAAAAAGATTTCCACTTATTGCTTGAATATGATCTACAGACTATCTACAGATTTTATTTCTGTACAATTCTTTCAATATAACATGAAAGCTCTTCTTCTTTTATTATTATTTTTAAAGATATCAACTTTAAATACTAACTAAACTTTTACTAGAGACTTTGTTCTATCTATCTATCTATATACATACATATGTATAGCCTGTCTCCAATCTTTTATAAATAATGGAGGCTATTTAAGAAAATTTTGTGTATCAGTAAAATCCAATTTTTTGGCTAAGGATATTTGAATCTCTGTAAAAAGAATAAATAAAAAAATGATATTTTATTGTGAACTTACGCCTGATCGACACATAGGAAACACTCATTCTGGTAAGTGCGGCCAGTTGTAGCACAAATATAAGATGTAACATCAGGACAGTATGCTGGAAAATTAGGTTCTGGATAGTACATTTCACATTCAGGCTGCAAATATAATAAAATATCATAAGGATAGTAAATAATAGATTTTGCTCCTCTATCCCTCATCTTTCACTTTTGCCTTAATTCAGAAATAATGTTAAATCTTGCTAGTCAATCAGTATTTTTCAAATATTTCCTGTGCTCTCGGCTTCAGCCATGCCAGGTTTTCTGACTGTAGTGTTTTCTGCTCCTATCCCATCATCTCTTAAAGTCATAAAACCAAAAAATATAAAACAATGTGATTGAGTTGATTCTGACTCCTAGTGTCACTATAGGATAGAGTAGAATCGCCCCCATAGAGTTTCCAAGGACACATATTGCCACATCTGTTGTGTTCCACAAAATGCTGGTGGGTTTGAACTGCCGACCTTTTGGTTAGGAGACAGATGCCTTAATCACTGCACCACCAGAACTCCTTTTAAAGCCATGTTATTGTTGTTGTTATGTGCCATCGAGTCAGCCCCAACTCATAGTGACCCATCCTTGGGTTTCCAAGGTGGTATCACTATGGAAGTGCATTGCCCAACCTTCCTTCCAAGGAGTGGCTGGTGGGTTTGAACTGCCAGCCTTCTGGTTAGCCGTCAAGTGCCTTAGGCACTATGCTATCAGAGCTCCTTCTTAAAGTCATGAGCATTGTATAATACTAGTTTAACACCTTATGCAAAGTATTCATTTAAACTTGTTATTCTAATCAGTGCAACTCATTGTACGAAGTTTGTGAGTAGAAATAATACGTTTGTGAACTTCTAGAAGGCAAGGGCTCAAGTGCAGTTGCTAAGAATTGTTAAGAATAAGGCTCTGTATGGCGATTAGGGATAAATTCTAGATTTACTACTGTTTAGTTTGTGAGTGACAGGTAATATTTTCATTTAATACTCATAGATATTTTACTATTATAATGCATGTACTATGTACCCAAAGTCACATAAAAATCTTTCATTCTGTTTACCACATAAGGCTTTAGGTTCTTTGTGTTAAGGGAGTGATCAAATTAGAATCCAGAACTGAGAAAATAAATTTACCTTAGGCCATTGAGAGACATCATATGCTTTAGAAAGATCTGTAAATAAAATACAGAGAAAATAGCTTAAAGGAAATAGTTGTCCATGGCCTATGAGTTCATCCACTGAGATCATTCTTTGAGTAAACCAAAAACAAAACCAGTAGGTTCATTGCTATTGAGTTGATTCTGACACATCGTCACCCTACAGGACAAAGTAGAACTGCTGATTGTGGAACAGACCATCAACTGCTTATATGCAAATTCAAGTTGAAGCTGAAGACAATTGCAACAAGTTCACAGAGCCAAAATATGACCTTGGTTTCATCCCTCCCAAATTTAGAGACCATCTAAAGAATAGATTTGATGCATTGAACACCAATGACTGAAAACCAGATGAACTATGGGATGACATCAAGAACATCATCCATGAAGAGAGCAAAAGGTCATCAAAAAGATAGGAAAGGAATATACCAAAAATGGAATGGCTTTAATGAATAGGAATTTATTCTCTTGCAATTTTGGAGGTTAGAAGTCCGAGTTCCAGGTGTCATCTTCTAGGGTCTGGGTGAAAGCCCCTTGACCTTGGGCTTCAGCTCTGCCTCTTGCTCCCAGCCCACTGAAGCTAGAGGCATCTCTTCATTCAGGCAGCTGTTGGCTGTTGATGCTGACAAGCCCAAGGTCAGCAAGTGAAAAGGTACAATCCCGATATTACCAAACCACACAGCAGGCCATTGATTCAAGTCCATTAAAAGTCCCAAGATTGGCGGAGCATGGCAGGCTGCTGAATAAAGACTCGGCTACATGGAGGGTTCAAGAGTGCCAAAAAGCTGAAGACCTTCCTCAAATCTACTGCTTATATACTGGAAGCAGACCACAACTCTAAAGCAGTTATTGAGCTGCTCCAGTAGATTCCACCATGGAATTGATTGCCAGTCTCACCATGGGGCATATAAGTACATCCAGCTGCCCAGCCATGTAACCAGGCCTAGCCAAATTGACAACAACCTTAACTGTCACACTTGCAAACCAAACAACTACTCATCAGCAGGACTATACGTAAAGGAATTAGGTATATTCATGCATTGGGATTTTATTCAGCAAAAGTAAATGAATTATACAGAAAAATACATGTAAATTTAAGTAATATAACATTGAGAAAAAAGTAAATTTCAAATGATTATGTGATTCCTCAATGTAAAACTGAGTGAAAAAGTCTCACAAGAAAAGTATAACTTTTTACAATATTGTAAAAACTAATGGGGGCAACATCTTCTGACCTCCTTTAACTTCACGAGGCAGAGACAGAATCACCATTAGCAGCCAAAGGCTTATTCCTATGAGGCCAGACATGACGTTGTCACCCAGCCTTTTTACCAATTCTGACACCAACCATCCCTCCCATGGCACTCACTACTTCTCTGCTGGGCTTGATAATTCATTACAATGACCATACAGAACTCACAGACAATACTCATGATTATAGGGTTTACTAGGGAAGTAACATAGTGTCTAAGACATTTGACTACTAACCAGGAGGCTGGTGGTTCAAAGCCACCTTGGAAGGAAGACTGGGCAATCTACTTCTGTAGAGATACTGCCTCAGAAACCCAAGAAGGCTTCATTATGAGTTGCAATTGACTCAATGGCAGTGAGTTTTTTTTTTTTTTTGGAACAGGCTACAGTTCAGGTTCAAGAACCTCTCAGGTTATAATTCTTTGATCAGGACAGTGCTATGTCCTCAAGCACAACTTTCTGGCCCTTGGCCTGGTCTCTGCCTTGCAAATGTTACAAAACTCTTTTAGCTCTGCTTATAGGAGCTCTGGTAGCATAGTGCCTAAGGCACTTGACTGCTAACCAGAAGGCTGGTGGTTCAAACATACCAGCCATTCCTTGGAAGGAAGACTGAGCAATCTACTTCCGTAGTGATACTGCCTCAGAAACCAAGGAAGGGTCACGTCCGACTCAACGGCATATAACAACAACAACATAGATACACCTGCATGAACCCCACTCTGCCAGCAAGCCTCTTGCCCAAAGGCACTCAGTTTTCTCTCTCTGTGGGCCAGCAAGCCTGCAGCTCTATCTTGTGCCTCTTGGTTCCTCTGCGGTCATCTCATTTGGTTGTCTCAGTTGTTGTCTCTGTCAAGGTAGTCCACTTCAGTGATCTTGGGTCCAAGGATGCACGCCACACCACCTTCAGCTCTTCTTCTTGATGGCAGTGAGATCCCCCTTTTTGTCTCTAGGAAGGCTCATTTTAAGGCTAGCAGAATGACAAAACTAACCAAATCCCCACACTAGAGTTCCATCCACCTTATTTGCATGGTTCCACCTACTAATCTGGTGGGAGTCACAAAGACTGGTGAGAAAAGCAATACCAAGTAATCCACTTTACTGCAAATGTAAAACAATTATAAAATTATACTTTTCAAATATACATGGACACTAGAATTACATTAAAAATAAACACAGGGGAAGAATGGGGACAAGATTTAGGGCATTTACCTTGGATGAAGATATGAAAAAGTAATAGTAAAGTGAGGACTATATTTGTGGATTTGAATTTTTGTCAATATTTTATATTTCTTCATTAATGATATATTAATGTTGCTAGTGTTGCTATGTGCCATTGAGTCAGACCCAAGTCATAGCTATCCTTCCTTGGGTTTCCGAAGCAGTATCACTACAGAAGTAGATTGCCCCATCTTCCTTCCGATGAGTGGCTGGTGGGTTTGAACCACCAGCCTTCTGGTTAGCAGTCAAGTGCCTTAGGCACTATGCTACCAGAGCTCCTGATATCTTAATAATGATTATTAATTGGATATAATTATATATAATGAACCAAACAGTAAGATTAACCCAGTTTTATCCAACTGAGGGTTAATTAGAGGGATAAAGTCAATTGCTGAGAACCTATACACAATAGATAATCAATTGATGGCAGCTACATTTTTAACATTCATTTATTAAGGACTGGGTAATCTTCCCATCTAAAGACCATAAACTTAATCACACCCACAAAGTCACTTTTGCTATGTAAGGCAACATAGTTACAGATTCTGGGAATGAGGAAGTGAACATCTTGGGGGCCATTCTTCTATCATAGCAACTAACATGGCTTTTGTCTTTACTTCAAATCACTTGGTTGTGATTGCCTCACTGAGAAGACATGCATGTCAACCCCACTGCCATTCCCACAAGCATCTTTTGTTTTCCATGGATTCTGGACCTTTTTGAAACTCAAATGAGAATTGTGCAGCATTTTACTAGGAAAGTAAAAGAAAAACAAAATCATGTTTACACAATGTTTTGCTTATAATTAAAACACTAAACATTGCTCTAGATGGATATTGGCTCAACAAAACAGCAATTGAGAAAAAAATTGAGAAAGAAATTTGATTGATCAAACTAAGGAATCAAATTTTAACATTCCCCAATTTGAATTATTTGGACTGAATGCTTGTTTCAATAAAAAAAGTTGTCTACCCTAAATCATAGATGATGAATTTCTTGCCTTTATTATTTTTTTTTAACTAGAAGTTTTCTTCCCAAGACTTAAATGATTGCTTACCTGAAACGACAATCTGTGTCAAAGTGGAAGATAGCAGGAAAAAGATGGTCACACAGGGACAAGAAGCCATCTGCTTTCATCAATTGTCTTGCTTTGGAGAACCTTGAAAAAATACTTAAAATAGTTTATTTCTAATCACTTGTATAGGTTCACACTCCAAACATAAGAGACTCCATGATGCTGAGCTGGTGCCATTTCCACAAACTTGATTGTGGTAATCTCACATTGGCCTGGTCTCCAGGAATTCAGGCCTGAGAGGGCCTTTCTGCTCTAAAGCAGAGAAGAGAAAATCATTAAATGACATTTTTTTTTTTCCTTTTTTCTTTTCTTCCCGCCTGCAGCAAGTTTATAATCACAGTCCTGGCCTAGAAGAGGAACCAGGTCAGGACTTTATTTCAGCTCTCACTGTCACCCAAAAAATGCTGGAATCTGGCCCTAGAGCAGTGGACCCAATAGTCCACGGCAGAGTTCAAGGGGAAGAGCGTTTAATTAAGAAGTGCACCAAGGAGAGACAAAAGGGGTATCAGTGACTCCAAAAAGTCTGCTCTGCTCAGCTCGAATAATCAGGGGTTCACATACTCTAGGAAAAAGCTGCACAGCATGTATGCAGAATTAATTAACAATTTTCCAAAAGTTAGATAGGACAATGGGCAATTAAGAATGGAATGTTTCTTGTGAGTTCCTGTTGTTGTTATGTGCCATCCTTGTGCTGTCTTCTGACCAACTCATAGTGGCCCCTCCTTGAGTTTCTGAGGCAGTATCACTACAGAAGTAGACTGCCCAACCTTCCTTCCCAGGAGTGGCTGGTAAGTTTAAATGGCCAGTCTTATAGTTAGCGGCCAAATGCCTTAGGCACTTCGCTATCAGAGAGTTCCTAGCAGTCAGGTAATCCTTAAGAGGTGCCATCTGGGTTTATCAAAGTCTAGGTGGCTGGTCCTAAAGTCGAGCCCTGGAAACTTTGTTGACACAGATGGCCCTGTCTTAGATCACAGGGTGCAGCAGGAACTGATAACTGTATCTTAGAGAGAGAACAAGTTAATTATAACACAAGGTTTAAGTCAAGTTTTAAAGAAATGACATCTTAATTAAACATCTGGAAGAAGCAAGCCTAACAAAGCAAAAATCTTCATCCTCACATCACCAGGGCTAACCCTAGTGGTGTTACCTAGAACTAAGGAGCTCTAGTGGCATAGTGGATAAGGCATTTGGCTGCTAACTGGAAGGTCAGTGGTTCAAAGCTAGAACTAGGATGACTCTACCCAATCCAGAACACTCTTGTTAGTTAATATGGGAACTTACAGAATTATTAAGAATTCTGGGACAACAGGTTTGATCTTAGGACATTCTATATAGGCAGAGATATATTGTCACCAATATCACAAGTTGTTTGATTCTCTGGGGTGGACACATTTCTCCCACACTGAATTGCTTCATTTTTCAGCTAGGTTTCTCTCCTTCAGGACAGCCCCATGAGCTCAAACACAAAGAATAAATTGAAAATGGAAATTTTGGCCTTAGGTTATAAGAATTATATGTACCTGACCCAAGGTACATATACATATATGTACCTATATCATATATATGTAAGATTCACATAATCAGATTATGTAAACATATACATTTATTATATATATTTATATAATCTGATTAT